GGGGGGGGGGGGGGGAGGGGAATTGGAGGCCGAGAATCCCTCGACAAACACCCTGAAGGACTGGGGCCATTAGCCAGCTTCGGCTTGCGCTGAAAACCGGGTCCTGCAGCCCAATTCAAATGCCACTTCCCAAACATAGCAAAAATGGACAAACAAAGGGAAAATCCATCGAAAAAAGGGAGCAGAGTCTATCCTTCTACCCTATCTACTACTACGTCTTCTTGCTCACAATCTGCTGGGATCTTTACCCAGTTTCTCTTCATAATGGCACCAGAGAAGTAAACACCCTCCTCTTCATATCTCCATTCCTCACCCACCTTCAAAAAGAAGTAAATGGAAAACAAAACCCTAATTGGTTTTTAACTTTTTATTATATTGTAAGTTTTTGAGTTTTAACCAACAATCCTACTCACAGATTCTACAGTGATTTTTTTTTATTTTTTATTTTTTTAACAGTGAAATTTGGCGAGGGCGGAGTGTATGGACTTACTCGATTGTCAGAAAGGTCAAGAACCTCCAGATTCACCAATTTATCCAGTCCCTCAATGTCTTTTATAAGATTCTGTGAGCCACATAAGACAAACAGTATATAATTATTAAAAATAAAAAAGAAAAAAAGAAAAAAAGAAAAAGAAAAAAAAGATGAATGCCAATGTCATGTGGCAAAGGAGGAGAAGATAAGAACGTGCCGGAAACAGACAAACGGGTGGTTGGCAACACATGGTGCAAAGACTTGAAGTCTTGAGGTATGAAGTGCTATGAACAATATAATTATATTAAATACCATCGATAAATATTAAATATTAAATAATAACTAATAATATAACAAAATATAACACAGAAAAAGATAATAATATAAATATTAAATACAATAATTAATAATATTAATAATATTATTCATTATTTAATAAATTTAACCCTGCAATGACCTTGTGGCCCACATCAGTTTTGAAAAACTTTTGCTTTCCTTTCCTTTCCTTGGGAACTTGTGGGCCCTCCGAGTTCGAGTATGGGTGATTGATTCCCCTATAGACTGCATGGCAGATTTTTCGGATAAATTTCGAAAATTTTGTGTCTGATAAGAAAAGCAAACAAAATATCATTATTAGCTTTCAGTGAGAGATAAGCCACATTGCGGACAACAGTCCCAAGACCCATCTTCCATCTTCAGCCTAACAGAACCCGGGGTCATTATCGCAAATACAGCTATAATGACCGGGCATTCTCGCCACGTGAGGTGCAGACAGTAGTATAACCATGTTGCACGCACACACAAAACACAAAGACATCGTCTCACTAGATATCAGCAGAGCACCATAACGTCTGCCCGGGAAAGCGACTAGGCTTTTTTCTTCTTTTTTTTTATTTTTTATCCCTCCACAGCTGGCGAGAATATGAACACGCAAGTGCTGTCGATGGCGTTTGCGTTCATGGGAAGGCAACTGCAGCTCCCGCCTGGCCCACAGAGTTATACTCCTGACAAGGACTCCGATATCCGTACGATATCCATGCATGTATATATCCTATATAGTTGTCCGGGTTCATATCCTACATCATGCAGGCCACTCCTTGCACCACGGCGTCTTTTTTTTTATTATGACCACTCATTCATGGGCTCTGAGGGAATATAACACCACCCCTCAAGTCATTCTTTTTTTGAGTGTATAGCGGATATGACAACACACACACACACACACACACACACACACACACACACACACACACACACACACACACACAGACCCTCTCTGTCTTCAGACATACAGAGCCTTTGGGACAACAAGGAGGTGATGCAACAGAAGCAGAGACATGATTGCGTTCGAACCAGCACATTCATGCCCAGCCTGTGGCTGAGTGGTACTCAGTACTACTCACACATAGCTGTTGACAAACAGATCATGAGCTCATTTTTTTATGATGGATGCATAAAAATGGTAGGGGCTACCAAACTTTGAAAGAGAAAAAAGGAAAAGATACGTGTCATTCATAGTTTTAGAGTTGGAAGACAGGCAAACTCCATTTGTATAAGGATTATAGAGAAATGCATTCACCTTATTGAGATAAAGGCACCTGAGGTTGACCAATGAATCCAAGCCCTCGATTTTCGAAATCGCTGCAAGCCCTCAATTTCCATGCAAGATAAGATATGGCACCCACGCCATGCACCAGTTGGGCGTCACAATGGACCAAGACAACAGCAGGTACAAACCAGGAAGAAGACAAAAGGCCAGCTGTTAGGTCAGACCGCGAACCAGGTACACACTGCAAACCACACTGTGTTCTTCCTTCTTTTTTTTTTTCTTTTTTTTGTTTTCCTTCTTCCCTCTGGAACATATTAAGAAATGCACTAGTTTGATCATATGATCTGCTCTTGTATTTAATTCAATTAATTTATTGATAGAGGAGGAATAAAGAAGAACAAGAGGGATGAGGAATAATAAGGAGGGGGAAGACATTGGTGTAACTTGTGTAATTCTTCTTCTTCTTTAATTCTTTGAATTTCTTTCCTTTCTTAAAATTAAAGCACGCAAGCAATCACTCACTCTCACTTTCAAGCGGCCAGCAATGGCTCTCATGGATCAAGCATGGAGTATGGAGGGTCAGTCACATATGGGATGAAGACAGAAAGGACTGGATTGACGAGGAAACAATCAAATCACTCTTGAAGGGTTGCCACCGAAAAGATGAAAACCTGCAAATTGTAATTAACAGCATCCCGGATGGATGGAAGGACTTACTCAAAGAGGAGTTCTCTTGGAGGCCAGGCGAATGGGGGG